AGCTATGTCCATTCATCAATCTGTCTCTAAATAGGAAAAAACAGAAGCAAGGACTTCTGAAACTAGGAAGCTAATGTTAAGTGTTGTCTACATAGGGTGAATTGATGGGAATAGCTATTCTGGTGTAACTGAATGCTATTCTGGATTAAAAGGGTACTCCCAAAACTCACATTTGAGAATGAAGTCATTTTTATTTTGGAACAGACTGTCTATGTGGGAGCTATTCTGGACTCACTGTTGTGGGACAGGTTGTTCTGCAGTAATGTTAGACAGTTTCCCTGTGGAGACAAAGCCTTAGGATATCAAGCCAGTATATAAGTATCTAAATATCTGGCTCAATTTCAAACCTGCTGTGAGCACTCCAACTTTTCCACTGAGGTGGAAGGATATATTGTTGTGTGTTTTATTTTCTGAGCTGGTCAGTATAAAATGAGCCTAAATGCATTCCAAGAACTGAGGATAGGATTTTCAGAAGTGCCTGGGAAAAATCATTAAGACGTGAGCCATAGTCATTTAAGTGGATTTGAAAATCTCACTATAAATAAAGCAGGAATCCCTGATACATGGCTATACCTTCTCTTTATTCATAGGGGGGAAATAGCATATGTCATTAGAGAAAGGCTATATTTATTGTATTATTGATGCTGAACATAAGTCAATTTTATTTATGTATTGTATTAGAAATAGAAGATTCCAAGCTTTGTAGAGACTTATGGGACGTGAAGAGGCAAGGTGAGCTGATAGATTGACCATGTGACTGGTTTAGATACTGGTTTCCTTTATGGCCTGGAATTAATCATAGAAAATTAAGGTTAGAAGGGACCTCAGAGGTCATCTAGTCCAACCCCCTGCTCAAAGCAGGACCATCCCCTGACTAGATCATTGCAGCCAAGGCTTTGTCTAGCTGGGTCTTAAAAACCTCCAAGGGTGGAGATTCTTCAAGCTCTCTGGGTAACCTGTTCCAGTGCTTTACTACCCTCATGGTGAGAAAGTTTGTCCTAATATCTAACCTAAACTTCCCTTGCTGCAACTTGAGAGCATTGTTTCTTATTCTATTATCTGCCACACTGAGAACAGTGTGGCTCAGGGGCGGGCAATTATTGCAGGTGGTGGGCCACTTACTGAGTTTTGGCAAGCCATTGAAGGCCATATGACAGGCAGCCCAGGGGCAGACAAATATTAATTTTCTAAAATTTTTAGGGGCCCCACGGGCCAGATAGAATGGTCTGGTGGGTCACATCCAGCCCACGGGTCGCATTTTGCCCACCCCTGGTCTAGCTCCATCCTATTTGGAACCCCACTTCAGGTAGAAGAAGGCTGCTATTAAATCCCCGCTTGGTCTTCTCTTCTCCAGACTAAATGGCTGCTTGCAGACATTAGAAAAACAAAAAAAGCCAAAAAACCACACTTCACTACAAGCAGCAGCACATTACTTCGACCTGGCTCTGCAGCATCTGTATAGATCAGGCGCTTCATCAGGGCTTTTTGACATTTTCAGCTAAAGTTGATTCAATCAGCTATTAGAAAGAAGTGCCAAAAAAGCTCCACTAAAGAGCCCAATCTATACAGATACCAGGTGAGCTGGGTCCAGCTAAGGCACTGCCTCTTCTGGGCATGTGCTGGGCTTGGCATGGGAACGTACAGAGTTAAAGCAAAGTGCTGTTTGGTTTTTTTTAACGTACAAGTAGCCAGTAAGCCCAGTTTCCCCAGCCTCTCCTCAGAAGTCATTTCTCCCAGCCCCCTAACCATTTTCATTGCCCTCCACTGGACTCTTCAATTTGTCTATATTCTTTCTGTAATGGGGAGCTCAAAACTGAACATGGTACTCCAGATGTGGTCTCAGCAGTGCTAAACAGAGGGGGAATAATCACTTCCTTCAATCTGCTGGCAACGCTTCTAATAATGTATCTCAGTATGCCCTTAGCCTTTTTGGCAACAAAGACACACTGTTGGATCATATTCAGCTTATTGTCCACTGTAACCCTCAGGTTCCTTTCTGCAGAGCTGCTACTTAGCCAGCTGGTTTTCAGCCTGTACTGGTGCATGGGATTGTTCCACTCTAAATGCTTCAGGATAAGGTCCTGCAACTTTGCACTTGTCCTTATTGAACCTCATGAGACTTCTTTTGGTCCAGTCCTCCAATTTGTTGAGGTCTCTCCGAATCCTAACCCTAACCCTAACCTCCTGTGTGTCTACTACTCCTCCAGCTTGGTGTCATCTGCAGACTTGCTGATGTGTATTCCATCCCATCATCCAGGTTATTGATGAAAATATTTAACAAAATTGGCCTCAGGACCAACCCCTGAGGCATTCCACTTGATACCGGCTGCCAACTAGACAACAAGCCATTGATCACTTCCTGTTGAGCCTGACGATCCAGCCAGCTTTCTATCCACCTTACAGACCATTCATCCAATCCATACTTCCTTAGCTTGCTTGCAAGAATGCTGTGGAAGACCGTATCAAAAGCCTTGCTAAAAATCAAGGTACACCACATCCACTGGTCTCCCCACATCCACAGAGCCAGTCATCTCATCGTAGAAGGCAATCAAGTTGATTAGAATGTTCTTGACACTATGGATTCCTATGTGAAATCTCTGGGCTTATATTGTGAATTATGTTTGCACACCCAACAGTGCTAACATTACGTGGCACTCTGTGGCACCCTTGAACAGATCTCAAGGCAACCTGGGATGCTGCAGCACCCGGCTGAGAATTACTGCTCTAGAGCATCCACTATTTTCCACTGTCAGAGAGAGGATACTAGGCTAGGTGGACCTTTAGCATGAGGTCCATTTAGTTCTTAATTTCTCATTAGATGTTACCTTAGCAAACATCTTGGTTATATTACTATATTTGCTGGATTTAGAGTAGGCAAGTCCCGCACTAGCCAAATACTAATCATGCAACATATAGAAGATGGATTTGAGAAAGGGGTGATAACAGGTGCTATGTTTGTAGACCTGTTAGCAGCATATAACAGTCAACCACCAAAACCTGCTTGCCAAAGTCTACAATATCACACATGACTACTGCCTAGTGCAGCTCATCTGATCTCTTTGGTAAATTGAGATTTGATATCTCCTGCCTTGCCTCAGAGTAGACTGTAACAATTATGTTAAATTATGCCAGTTGCATAATTTAAGTTGACCTCATGTGACCACGAATGAGTGTGATATAAGTTGTGTGTATGCTGCCTCCTGTGTGATCCCCTCTGCTGTAAGTAGGTCACTGGCACAGGCTCAGTGAACCTAGCAAGTTCTGGAAACTCTGAACTCCTGACCTATGGTGTGAATGCACGTGTGACTGAGAAGAAGGTGCAAGGATGTGTCCATTAGCACATACGAGTGAGGTGTCACTTACCTGAGTGTTCAGGAACCTGAGTGAGGTATAAATGAAGAGAGCATGAGGGGTATGGAGAGCATGAGCCTAATGTGTAGAGATTGAGGAGCTGCTTGAGGGACCTAAGTCCGACCTGGCCAGTTGAGCCTGCAGTCCTCTGCAGTGTGGTCGTGCTTTGAGCTGAGTGCCTGAGTTCCACTGCGACTAGCTGAGCTGCGTGACCTTCAAGTCTCCATCACTGCATAAAGAGAGCTGAAGTAAGTTGGCTCCTGAGAATCTTTCTCCCTTGGTTTGAGCGGCTGCCACCCTCTATTGTAAGTACTACCCAATTCCTGGGTTTGGGATTGTAAGTGACAACAAAATCTTAAAAATTTGTAAGTAAATATTTGTATATGGTAATTCCAGTGTGATGTTGTCTGTTAGTTTTGTTCAGTTAGTTAATAAACCATGCATTTGTTTCAGTTAATATCAGAGTCTTAATAGTTAATCTATGTAAGTTTGCCAGTTAGCTCAGAGCAGTGCAGTGATAGATCTGTGAATACTCTGAGTGCAATGATCGTGCCCACCTCCTAATTCAGAGGTTTGAGGCTAATTAGGCTAATTGAGTGCAGCTCTAATTGGCTCTTGGAGTCTCCAAACAACACTTAAAGAATAAACATTTTTAGGTAGAACTGTGCTGGAAACAACAACAAAATGGCCTCCCAGGATAGCGTGCTAGCACTGATCCTTTTTAACATATATAACAACCAACTGTGGCAGGGCACTGTGGGTATCTGCCACTTTAAGGGCTAGGACAGGGAGATGGCAGGTGTCTTATGGGGGTGGCCACTTAATGCCCAGCTCTGTGCGGAGAGAGCTGTTTGAGACCAACCAGCAGGGGAAGAACATCTCCCTCCTTGTGTCAGGAACAGCTTGGAGGTATATGGGCTGGGGCTATGGGGATGGAGGAAGCCCCAGGTCTTGGGCATGACCTAAAACTGCACCCTGCCAAGGTAGGGAGGCCTGGTGGGACTGCCGGTGGTGCATCAGCCCCAGGAAATGCCAGGACTGTGAACCTCCCTGGTGAAAGGCGGGTAGGGGGCACCTGATAACCTCCAGCCCCTGCACAGTCCTGGCTAGGGAAAGCCGAGGCTTGTGAGATTTTTGAGAGGCCTGAGGTTCTCATGATCCAGTGGAGTTGTAAGAGAGAGAAGGCAAGTGGCGCAGACCTGACTGAATGGACCCTCGACTGGCTAATGTTGGGGCCAGGACCCAAGTGGGG